CTGCAAGTCAACGGACTCTCCATTAGGGATCCACCGATACCGATACTAGTATACCAAGTATTTGGGTGAGTACTTGTACTCGCCCAAATGCTCCTGATGCTTATCCTGACAACTGGAACTTCCGGTATCCGGAAGCTAGGCGGCGAGTCATTACACGCCGCTCTGCTTCCTGATTGGCCGGGAAGCCGACTCCATGCACTTGGTGACCAGGGAGCATGGAGCCGGCTTCCAGGACAATCAGAAAGCCGACGGACATGTAATGACCCGCCCCCTGGCTTCCTGATTGGCCAGAAAGCTGTGATTTTTAGTAGAAGGGGGTAAAGGTCCGCTTTAAGGGTTACAGGATTCTGTTATTCTGAGACAACTGGAAAATGCATAAGCAATCCAACAGCTCAAAGAACTTCCTGAAGGAACTTATTCCTGAGGTTGGCATCGGATGAAGCCAAACTATCCACTTTGTAACATTTAGAACATGTGTGAATAGAAGACCAGGTTGCAGCCATGCAAATCTGAGAAACAGATGTCTGATGCATAAAAGCCCAAGAAGCACTCACAGACCTAGTAGAGTGTGCTTTGACAAGAAAAGGTGGAACCTTGTCCTCAAACTGATATTAAAGTCAAAATGCTTTTAAGTTATTTCAAATGCTGATTAACTCACTTACAATGGATGTTGCTCCTTAATGTTTAAAAGCTTTAGTTGCTTGCAGAAGCAATTGGTTCCCTAGGCACTGGCCCTGATATCCTATTTTAGGGTGACTCCTTCCACTTACAGGGTCAAATGAAGCCTCCCTTGTGTGTGTGTGTTGTGTGTGTCTCCACAAACACACAGGCACAGCAAGGGAAGGAAAGTCAGGTCTCTGCTCCCCATCCCTCCCTTATACAGTATTAGATGGACACCTGTTTGAGATTTTGCTGTCCTTTGTGATCATGTATGCAACAGGAAGTTCAGAGATACAGAGCTGAGAGTTGGAGCCAGCTTTTTGAATATATGATGACTGTAAGCGCTTGGCCAAAATTTTAAATAAATACTTTGCTGGGCAATGAATATTTGTTTGATCTGGATTCGTTATTGAAAAGAAGTTGGATGTTTAATACTACTTCAAGACAAAAAGCTTTTATGATGATATTTCTGAGCTGCCTAGAAATGGTGAAGTGAGAAGCTGATTTCCCTTTATGGGGACCTTTTGGAAGGACAAAAAAGTCAGCCTTCCTAATGGAAACAGTGGCTTAAAGGTAAAGTTGCACAGCACAAAATACACCCAGACAATGAAGAAAGATTTCCTTCCTGTGAACTGGAGTTGGCAGAGAATTGGAAGAATGAAGTCCTGCTTGAGGTAAATGCAGACCAGATCTGCATGAGTTTCTGCACACCTTGTGCTGAGTGTTTGCCGCGTTTTTTGACCCGTTTTTGAGGCGTTCCGCAACGTTTTTGGTCAAAAAAAATAAATATTTGTTTTAGTTTAAAATGGGGTTTCAGTGCGTTGTAGGACGTTTGCTTGCATTTTTGATGCGTTTGCATGCGTTCCAGAGCGTTCAATAGCGTGAGAAGCCATAGCGGCCCGCAGGGCATCAGGATTGTCCTGGCCGGGCCCCCCTGTGCCCCGGGGCCCATAGCAGCCGCCTGGGTCGCTATCTTGATTGTTACGCTACTAGTCAAAATAAGCCTTCCATGTGCAATGGTTACACATTGTAGAAGGCAGAATTCCAAGCTTTTCAGAGCTTGGGAATTACTTGACTGAATCAGAGTGACCCCCTGTCTCTCAGGACTTGGGTTTCAACAGCCAGCAATCATGAATTGTAAACTGGTCCTTGGAAAAGAAGATCAGGGTAATCTGAAAGAGCCCACGGGTGTCTGCCTGAAGTTTTCTCAGGCCAGCCAATTATCTACATCTGCAATGTAAATGGCTGACAGGGCTGGCACTTGGATTTCTACCCAAGCTAAAATCCTGTATTCCTCTATTGCCACGGCAAGTTCCTTCCTGATTGATTGATGTACACCACTGTTGTGGCAATGTCTGACCGAATCCAAATCTGATTATTATTAGGCACGTAAGCCGGCCAAAAATATCGCTAGTTTAGTTTAGCTTTTTTCGGTCATTACGAACTAAAATGTGTTGCACGAAAAGTGACATTACATGTTTACTTTGTTTCTTTTTAATTTCTGACACCACAAACAAAAGTAAAACCCTAATATGTAAAAAACAAACAAAAAAAAACCCAGTGTGCGGTTCCTCTCGGCAGTTAATACCAAACTCTTTAGGTCTAGTAGGAATTTTATGGATATCCCCAACACCAAAAAAATTGAAAAAAAAGTTGGGTCCGCCCTAAAATCCCTTACTAGACCCCTAATCCGGGCAGCAGCCTGCCAGGGCGGGGGAGGGGAGGACGAGGGAACACTCCCATCTCCCTCCACCTTACCATGCCCCCGGCATTGGAAGGGTGCTTTTCCAGGGGGGACCCCTTGGAAAAGCACCTTGTCCCCATGATGATGGGGACAAGGGCCTCCTCTCCACAACCCTGACCTGGTGGTTGTGTGGGTCTGTGGGCAGGGGGCCTCATCAGTATCTGGGTAACCCCTTTCATAAAAGGGGCCACCAGATGCCACCCCCCTACTCGTTCACTAAAGGGTTAAATAAAATTTAAATAAACACACACCTTAGAAAAAACTTCTTTAACCCCTTCATGACTGAGCTTGTTTTCAGTTTATGTTCGTAAATGACTGACACACATTTTTGCTGTGTGATTCACAAGTTTTGATTATTATAATTTTTTAGCATTTTTTTAATGATTATATAATATAATCAAAACTTGTGAAAAAAAAGTGTTTTCTTCTAGTTTATTTCCTCATTTTTTTTAATTCAAACTAATTGAGGGGTTAGGTACACATATGTGATATAATTATATAGCCCTATCTGTCCTCTAAAAAACAATATATAATATATGTGGGTGCACTTAGTAAGAAAGTATAGTACTGTTGTGGAAGAATCACAAAGCAAAAATGTGCATCAGTCATTAAGGAACAGAAACTGAAAACTAGCTCAGTCATGAAGAGGTTAAACCCTTCAGGACTAAGCTTTTTTTCAGTTTCTGTTCCTTAATGACTGATGCACATTTTTGCTTTGTGATTCTTCCACAACAGTACTATACTTTCTTACTAAGTGCACCCACATATATTATATATTGTTTTTTAGAGGACAGATAGGGCTATATATTTATATCACATATGTGTACCTAACACCTCACTTAATACAAAAAAATGAGGAAAAAACATAAAGAAAACACCTTTCCCCAGTTTTGATTAGTATTATTAATAATTTTTATTTTCCTAATTTTGTTTTACACTTTATTTAATTTTTTTTACACTTTGTAAAAAAAAAATGTTTTTTTCTTGTCAGTTTATATCAAGCAGTCACTATGACTGCTTGATACATTTACTTTTTTATTTTTGGCAATTAGGCTGCTCCAAACTTAGGAACAGCTAATAATAGCCTTAGAGACTGATCCTAACAGAATGTCGGAATCAGATCTCACTAAGGCTGGGTCCACACCTAGGCGTATCGAATATGCACGTTTGTCACGCGTTTCATGCCGTGTATTTTTACCGCGATTCGCAGTAAAAAAAACACGTGACAAAAGCATGTTTCCGAGGGCTACCTGCCTGTGTCCCAATGGAAACGTGCAGCAAATACGCCCCAAACATCCCCATATTTAGGGATGTGCCTCCTATGAGACCTGCTGAGGTGGCTACCTCAGGCACCATGGGGTAGTGGGGAAGCTAGACATTCTGTCACCTGGGGCATCCCCCCTCCCCCCCCCAGGAAGAAGTTCTCCATCCACACACCCAGTGGCACCCCTTCTAAAGCGTCCGTCGGAACACATTATAAGCAAAACAAAACAGGTGACAAACGCACTCATCACACATTATAACCCCCCCTTCTGCCATGCTGTGTGGGGTGGCACTGAGGCCGAAGTGTCCGTGGGACTTTTCTTCCCCAAAGGAGCTCAGTAATGTCGAGTTTGGTAAAACTACAGGTTTATCTTAGCTGGGCTCCCTGCCCGGCAATGGCTGAGACTACTCAGTGACCCAGATGAACGTGCCGCATCACCCTCACTGAGTGGAGCTCTCGACTGCTGCACCTGTACAGGCGCGGAGGTCTGGAGTTACACTCTGCTCATTGACGCCGAATCTGCAATTTTATCAGCCATAGCAACAACACAGATAGCAAGCAATTGAGCTGCAAGTTTGAAAATGACTTGCTAAACTCTTGCAGACTTGCCAAGCTTCACAATTTTGTTGCACAATTACAGCAAGTCTACATTGCAAGTCTCCAGACCAGCGAGCTTGCAGAGCTCTTGCTAAGACCCGCAGGACTCTTGCTGTAGACTGTAGACTTGCAAATTTGCTACAAATTCAAAAAGTGTCAGCTAGAAACTGTGCTGCAGGTGTTCTGCAAGTCTACAACTTGCCAGGAATATGTGCAGCAAGTTAACAAAATTACATTTTCACCCTGCCACAAGTTTTTAGCAAGTAAACCTTGCTATCTGGGAAGGGGGTTGTTTGTCGCATGGGGAGGCAGCGGATTACATAAATGGCTGGCTCACATGGCAATAAACAGCAATAAACGTAGTTACAAGCTATTTTTTTTTACCCCCTCTCTACTCTATCCAAAATTAAAACAAATTACTTTATTATTACTCTTCTACAATGTCCACATTTCTTTGTGCGGGAAAATGGTTTGTTTAGAAGAACTTTACAGTATAGCAGGGACACGTGGTTCTGTCTGAGCAAAATTACTAATAGGTTTAAAGACCTAAAATCTGTTAATTGACATGCGCACTGAGCTGTTTAACTGAAATATATATAGGCAAGGTGACTGTGCATTATATAGTGTGCCGAGCCGTCCTCCCTCAGGTCAGGCCCCGCCCCCTCGTCACAGCTAGGCTGCCTCTGGTTGAAAGCTGGTCACGTGACAGGCACAGCAGCTGCGCTGCGGCTAAACATGGGAGAAGCGATAGAGCAAGAACTGAACCAAGTATCTCTACCAGATAAAGTCGAGGGCGAATCAATGACGGAGGACACGGGGGATGACTATGGAAGCTTAACGGATATCGGAGAAAACGAGGTTTGGTGGCGGGGAACGGGTGGAGAATTGGGGTGGAAGTTGCTGAGTGTTTCTCCGGTTGCTAGGCAACCAAGCGGCTGACTGCACGCTGTGCACAGTGCTCATCCCGATCACACAGTGCTGTACATACACATTGTACCCCGATAACTTCCGCGTTGTCCTCTGCATGACTTTCCCGGAGTTGTCATGTGTAACAGAAAGCCCTCATATCAAGCCCTTCTGTTTTATTATGATCGGACAGAAGTAACCTGCTTACAAACCGATCACTGCAAATGTCTTCACAACACCATTTGATGTTACAGTCTCCTTTGGATCTTATGCAAGGGTAGGCTTGATTTGATACAAATTGTATAGTTTATGGTGGTCCTCGTATTACATACAACAACCCCAATTCAAAAGAAAGTTGTGTAAAATCTACATAAAAATGCAATTATTTACAAATCTCATAAATCCATATTTTATTTCACAATAGAAAACATACCAAGTGTTTAAACTGAGAAAACTTACCATTTTAAGAAAGAAATAAAGGTAATTTTTAAATTGATGGCAGCAACACTTCTCAAAAAAGTTGGGACAGGGCAACAAAAAACTGGCAAAGTAAGTGGCACTAACAAGGAAGAGCTGGAAGAACATTTTGCAACTAATTAGGTTAATTGGCAATAGGTCAGTAACATGAAAAAGAGCATCTTAGAGAGTCAGAGTGTCTCAGAAGTAAAGATGGGCAAAGGTTCACCAATCTGTGAAAAGCTGCGTCTAAAAATTGTTGAACATTTTCAGAACAATGTTCTTCAACATGAAATTGCAGACTTTAAATGTATCACTATCCACAGTACATAATTTCATCAAAAGATTCCAAGAATCTGGAGAAATCTCTGTGCACAAGGGACAAGGCTGAAACGCAATATTGGATGTTCTTGATCTTCCGGCTCTCAGACGGCACTGCATTAAAAACAGTCATGATTCTCTTATGGACATCACTGCATGGGCTCAGGAATACTTCAGAATAATCACTGTCTGTGAACACAGTTCACCATGCCATTCAAAAATGCAAGTTAAGGCTCTATCATGCAAAGAAGCCATATCTGAGATCCAGAAAGAGGGACCTTCCGGCTTGTTGCCAGCACTCAGTTCAAAAGTTGATGGTATGTGGGTGCATTAGTGCATATGGAACGGGCAGCTTGCACATCTGGAAAGAAACCATCAATGCTGAACGATATATCCAGGTTTTAGAGCAGCATATGCTTCCATCAAGAGGACGTCTGTTTCAGGGAAGGCCTTGCATATTTCAGCCGGGCAATGCTAAACCGCATACTGCATCTACAGTGTGGAAAATAAATATTTGATCCACCTGCAGATTTTGTACTTTTGCCCGCATACAAAGAAATTAAAGGTCTATCATTTATCAGAGGCGTATTTTAAATGACCAGAACCAAAAATCCAGAAAAAACACATGATACAAATGTTTTAAATTGAGTTGCAGTTCAGTAATCTAACAGCATGGCTTCATAGTAGAAGAGTCCGGGTGCTTAATCGGCCTGCCTGCAGTCCAGACCTTTCTCCAATTGAAAATATTTGGCGCATCTTGAAACAAAAAATACAGCAAAGAAGACCCAGGACTATTGAGCAGTTAGACTTCTATATCAGGCAAGAATGGGACAACATTCCTCTCCCAATACTCCAGCAAATGGTCTCCTCAGTTCCTAGATGTTTGCAAACGGGGTTATTCACAAAAGGGTGAAGAGTTTGGAAAAGGCAGAAGAAGTGACCAATCTAGGATAACATAGCTGAACTGGAAAGTGATCTGAAATGGAGAATATTTCCAAATCAGTTATTTTGACCTAGAGTGTTCACTTCTCCTGCCTTCTCCAAACTCTTCACCCTTTTGTGAATATCCCTGAAAGTGTTGTTAAAAGAAGAGGGGATGCTACTCTATGGTAAACATGGCCCTGTCCCAACCTTTTTAAGATGTTGCGGCCATCAAATTCAGAATTACCTTATTTTTTTTGTTAAAATGGTGCATTTTCTCAGTTTAAACATTCAATATGTTTTCTATTGTGAATAAAATCTAGGTGTATGAGATTTGCAAATCATTGCATTCTGTTTTATGTAGATTTTACACAACGTTTTTGGAATTGGGGTTGTAGTTTTGGCAAATCTACAGTTCATTGCACAGAGAGCCCCCCCGAAATGAACAAGAAAAATGACATGATTCACCCATAAAGGCTAGAGAGCATGGATAGAGGAACCTCCCCTGCCAACTATTATATTCTGACAGCCAGCCAATCAAGAGGCAGAAGGCACCTAACCTGGAAGAAGACCGGGTGAAGATGGCAGGGGAAAGCAGACAGCACAGCGCTGGAGGGGATTGTTTACAAGGTAAGTCAGCCAAGGGTCAGGTTTTTGGCAGATGAGGCACACAAAGTCCTTTCTGTTAAAAAGCTTTTTCCTCTTGTTCCTACCAATTTTTTTTTATTTTGTATACGTTGTCTGCAGAGCATGTGCAGTGTACAATGTCAACTCATTGCCAGCATCTGTACGCTCCATGTCACACTGGTGAAGATTGTGTGGCTAACAAGAATTCACCAGCAACAGGATCCGTAGAAAATGCAGAGAGGACAAGTACTTGTTTTGTGTGTGTCGCTCGCTTTGCCTTCTCTGCTGAAAATGCAGCAGAACCTAAATAGCCAGTATCAGAGCACCATCTTTCTCCTCTAGCCGGCTACAGAGTAATACATGCAAGCAGGTGAGTGTTTTCAGTCCCTGCTGTGTCCTCCCAGCTACAGGATTGCCAGTATGACCTGCCTCTAAGATGTGGAGAATGGAGCCGGGTGCTGGGATGATGTAACTCCAGCACAGTCATCAGTGACAACACATCACCATTCACAAATGATGATCTGCAAACTGCCTAAAGGTGCCCATACACTGCTCGATTCTCGTACGAGAATCGCGGGAAATCCCGCGATCGTACGAGAATCGAGCAGTGTGAATGGAGACGTGCAACCGTTTCTACTGTACGGTCGCACGTCTTCCGTCGAACCAGCATGTTCGAAAACCAGCCGGGAATCGTACGATTCTCGGCTGGTTAGAGCGGTGCTCGGAAGACAAATGCCGAACGGGCCGGTGTGCGCACGCACACACTGCCCGTTCAGCATTGCGGTCATCGGAAGCCCGCCCCTCAGGGGGGCGGGCTTGCGATGATCGAGAGTGCGATCTGCCTGTCCAAGATAGGCAGATCGTACGTTTTTTTTAATCCCTGTACAACCATCGCAAGACTAAGGTCTTGCGATGGTTGTAGAGTGTATGGCCACCTTTATGTTTAATCAACTAAGAGGGATATTTATCAGAACTGGAGCAGACAAAATCTAGAACAGCTGTGCATGGTAACCAATCAGTTTCTCACTTCAGTTTGCTCAGTTAAGATTTCAAAATGAAAGAGAGAAGCTGATTGGTTGCCATGCACAGCTGCTCCAGATTTTGTCTCCTCCAGTTTTGATAAATTGCCCTCTGTGTCTCTAAATATTTTTTTATGTTTATGTGAAACAGTGCAAGTGTCCTGTGGGGCTTTTTTGGGGGATGGGTCACAAGGTAGCTGGCCTAGGGGGTGAAGAAATTATAAATCTGGCCTTGACTGTACAGTGTTGTTCATGTCAAAGTTTAGTAGCCACTAATGTAGTGTAGGTCCGTATGCCATACGTCCTTGGCAGCGAAAGGGTTAAAGGTATAAAAAAAAAAAACTCATAAAAAGTTATCTTTTAAAATACATTTCCATTTAAAACTTGATGACTGAATTGGAGAACTGCTTTGGGTTGTTATTGTCCTAAATTTTCACTTATAGCATCTTTTTATTTCAGAGAATTTCTAATGCAGTATTTTATCTTGTGTTTTTATCAGGTAAAAGATGAGCTCCCAGATTCTGTTCTTTCATGTTTGCAGTTTCTCAAACAAAGAAATGAAAAAGCGGAAAAAATCATTCTGCAAGATTTGGAATATGATTCTTCTAAAAGTGAGGACATAACAGGTGCCTAATAATATTTACTGGTACATTTCACTATAGGCTAGTTCTTTCGGCCAGTGGTCAATGCCTTTACAATATGAATTTATTTGTTTAGATGGTAATGTCTTTATTTTATATGCAAAGATGTATGGAATACAGTAGAAAAGCATTCTGTAGTTCACACATGTCTACATTCAGGGTGGATTTCACTGAAAGCTGAAAATTACATTTTGGTAACCTGACGTACAATAGGATTTTTGTACTTACCATAAAATCTTTTTTTTTAAATCCATTGAGGGACACCAGTATTCATATACATTCAGGTTATACTGGTGTCTCTTGGAGGACTCGACATTGAATAAAAAAAAAAATTTGAGAGCTAGGCCCATATAACCCCTCCTCTGCCTAGCATGCCTCAGTTTTATGGTAAAGCAGTATCAAGAGCAGCATGAACAGAAACACAGAGGGTGGGACCCGTGTCCCTTAATAGAACCCAAGAAAAGGATTTTACGATAAGTACAAAAATCCTATTTCCTTTGTTGTCCATCGAGAGACGCACACATACCACAGAAACCCTTGAATCAGTTAGAACACAGCAGGGGTCTATTCACGAAGCTGCCGAAGGATCTGGCCGTAGCTTCGGCCGCTCCTTCGACTAGCTTCGGCCCCAGAACCCCTTCGGTTCAGTAGAACCGAAGGGGTGCTGTACGGGATATTCACTATAGCCTGTACAGCTCCCGATCATGGCCTTTGTTCGGCCGACCCGAAGCCACGCGAAGCAAGCCGATGTACGTCTGAAATCAGCCGTACCAGCCTGAAGTGAATAGCCGAACAGTGTTCGGCACACTTCACTTCAGGTCGGTCATTCACTCGGCTGCCTACAGCAGCTTAGTGAATAGACCCCAGCAGCCTTTAGTGAGTGCAATGTGATTCCTGAGTCTGCCAAAGAACTTAAGAATTTGATCCCACAAAGTCAACACGACTGAAGGGATAGTCTTCATGGGAAGCACCTCCATAAGGGTAACCAAATGTGATAGAGACCCAAGCCCTGAACTGGTGAGATGGAGACAATCAGGTTGGATTGAGGATAAAGATGATGCATCCTTTCTAGAGGCAAGATGTACCGCTGAAGGTACTACAGGGCAATGCAGCTGAAGATCGATCCTTCCTATTCCTGACCTAAAGTCAAAGGTCTAGGAATACTCTTAATCCCCCATATTCAGCAAAGCATCAGCATGTTTGGAGTGAGGAACAGGACTGTTAAGCTGGCCATTCACTATTCAAATTTCGGCCTCTTCGTGAGGAACTGGCCAAAATTCGCACAGTGGGTGCCGCTGATCGAAAGAGCCGGTCGGAAAATCTTTGCACGAACAGAGCCAGCAGCCATTGAGCTGTGGGCTCTGTTCAGGTACTCTGACGGTGGCCGCCAGAAAACAGCAGGGATTCCTCAATCATAGCTCATAAGCATTCATGGAGAAATCTGTAATATTTTCTTTATTCAGCGCACAGGTTGAACGAAGAAAATATTACATTATATGGCCAGCTTTAGTAATACAGCAAGGAAACTTGCCCAACTGGAGGCAAAACAGGGGAAGTCCCCGTCTCAAGGACCTTTCTCAAAAGGCTGCAATCAGACTCAAAGATCAGTTTGTTTTGGACAGTTTGTAAAAGGTTAGCAAAACCTACTCTTTGTGTACAATAAAAGGCTGTCAGATTGCCAAGGTACTTGCTGCCAATAAGGGGAGATGAACTGTGATTTTGGTGCCTTTGTTGTGAACTTTCAGACCAGCTTTACATATATGCATTGTGGTAATGTGTGCAATTAAATGCGCGTGACCAGAAAGCATAATAAGACTGCATGCATACATTAGTGTGTTGCATTGCCATTTATTTTAAATGACACCTTAGTTCACTAAAGGAACAGGATGCACCTGCATTGCACCCCAGCGTGGGATTTTCTGCATTTTCTGGTCTGTTGTACTTTGGCAGACCATTTAAATGAATGGCTGCTTAAAACAGAGCACATTAGCATGCATTGACACTCCGCATCTTACAACAGAGATGTGAATGGGACTTGAAGATGAATTTACCCACAATGACTGTAGTTACAAAGGTGAATGAAGACTTGTTTTTAAAGTGGTTTAACTTTCTGTTAAGAAAATGTAAATATGTAAATGCATATAGTTCTGGACACACGTAAATTGTAAATTGCAATAATGATTTTTTCATTTGTAACAGAGTAACATAACATTTCCGTTATAGAGTAACTAATGTATGCAAAGTGACACTACTGTGTGTAGTTCTCTGTTGTTTTTTTGTTATACACATGACAGTAGCTTTGTTATTCCACTAAAGAAAATCCTTCTATCTGAATGGATAGAGTTCATTTGTTGCCCCCCTCAGTCATCTTCATGTGCCTTTTGAGGGATGTGGAGGAGGATCCCTTCTATATTTGTGTATACTCTTACCTGCCTAGTGGTCCAGTATTGGAGCGAGGGGAAGCGAGACACTAAAAGGGACAAGACTGGTGTCCAAGCAGTCTAATATTAACATACAACTGAGGCCAAAACTAGAGTAGGTGGAGGGTTGAAACACCTGTTAGCTTATTTTTTGCCACCTGTGTTCCTTCGGGAAGATTTCCATTTACAATTCCTGTCTGATAGCCGCAACAGGAAGTGAGAAAAAACCCCTCCAAAGTGAAGAAAATCCCTGGTGGTCAGCAGAGTCCCAGAACCAGTGTCCCCACTGGAAACATTTCCAGATTTTTACTTTCTGCGATAACAGTCAAATACAGTGGGTATAATGCCATAATGAAGAATTTTAAAAAAACTGACGGGTGTTCTAATCCCTCTCCACCACCTTCTAGTTGCACTTTAAGCATCTTCTGGGAGATCCAAAGTTGACCTAGGCGAGGGTGAGACCTCACTGTCACCTGCTCCCAAAAAGAGTTAGCAGTAGTGGCCTCTACAGGAAAAAAAAATGTGGATTTTTACATCCAGAAAGAAATGTGTCTGGCTTGTGTACCTGCATATTTCTAAAACTAAAAAAAATAAAGGCATCTAACATTGCAAAAGCCTGTGGGGCTAAGAATACTATTTTATGCCTATTAACTTTTGGAGAAAACTCTTCCTATTTGAATTAAAACCCTTTCAACTCATGCAGTTTCCATCCTTTAGACCAAAAGAGCTGACACATCAGTAGTTCATGTCCCTTGTGATGGGCTATTGGAAAGACAGGGTTGTGCTGTCCCAAAGTGTAAATCCAATTACTTGTGAGAATAGTTTACTTCTTTTTTTTACTTTGGTTATCCTCATTATGTTGCAGTCATTATATTCATATCGATGTGGGATTTATGAATACATTGTCTTTTGTTTTGAACAGGCCAGTTTTCTAAGCCTTTAAAAGACTTTGATTCAGATTTTTTGGACGAGCTGGCTTCTGAATATAATGAGGAACCTGAAGCACTTATAAAACGGGTATGTTACATACCACATTTGTTGTTTTCTTAATGCTTTAATGTGAGTGCATCTATCCCTTGTCTTTAATATTGTCAGAAACCTGCCTCCTTTTTTAACATCACACTTTAGTATCTGTTAGCAATGGCAACTAGCAGTTGTCTGGTTAAAGCTTTAGGATTTCAGCCATAGGAAACATTTGGGCATAACTGCTGGAAGGCTTTATATCCCAACCCTTCTATAAAGGAAAACTCTGGGGTTAGGGCTTTTCCCCATAGTTCTCCTTAGGGTAACGGGAGGACACAAACTAGCGTCCTCCCATCACCCTAAGCTCAGTATACCGCGTGCTACAACTTACACAACAGTATACTGAGACGCTGCAGTATACCGCAAGCTGTTGCCCGCGGTATACTGAGATGCCGCAGCTGAAGCGGATCCCGACAATTATGTCTGGATCCGCCCAGCTGCGTGAGTGACAGCTGGCTCTGCCTATCTAGAGGCAGAGCCAGCTTTACCCGCCCCCTCCCCCATCATTTCCGCCGGAGGGTCGGAGCGGGGGGAATCTAGCCCCTCCCCTGTCACGGCAGAGGACCGTGACAGGATCGAGAAGTGAGCGAACGCCGGTATGTGTTCACTCACTTCCCGATCTACTCAGCCGACCTGTGACAGTCTCATTGTCACAGGTCGGCTAGAACTATGAGGTGAGTGAAAAGCACTCACCTCATAGTTCTCCTTTAAGAAAGAGGTTATTTATCTTGTGTTGCTTTGGGCAACCCTGGGGATCCCTTACCCAGCCTTTCTGAGTCCCCAGACCCATCATGTCCCAGCACTACGTAGACATAATTATATTAGTATAAAACATGACCTATGCATATAATATATTTTCTGTGTTGTATGCTGATGCTACTGTGAGCCTTAACCTTATGGCAACAGTTTGGAGAAGACTCTGTTCTGTTCCATTATGACCATACTCCTGTGCAGAAAGCCAGGTTTATAAAAATATGATTTGGAGAGTTTGGTCTGGAGGAACTTATATGGCCTACACAGAGCCCTGAGCTCAACTCTATTGAAGACCTTTGGTATAAACTGAAATGCTGATTACAAGCTAGGTCTTCTCATCCAATATCAGTACCTGACCTCATTAATGGTCTTTTGGATGAATGTACACAGATCCAGTGGGCAATAAAGGGAGAGAGATAGGGAGTGGAAGAGGAAGGAAAATCACTACAGGTGTTAGAACATATATGTGAAATATATATACAGATGTGGGCAAATTTGTTGGTACTCTTACAGCATTGAAAGAATTATTCATTCCTCCTGAAAAGTGATAACATTTTATAGCAATTGTCTCATGTATAAACTGCATGCCATTGATATATCAAAAAGTGCAGCAAAGGAAGTATGAAACAAGAGAAATTATTGCTTATTCTACAAAGATATTCTAAAAAAAATAGCATTGACAGATCTGTTGGTCAATCTAACTGTTTTCCGTATTTAGTATCACTCGTCTTTAATCCTGTAATCAGTCAGTCAACCTATTTAATTGGAAAAGTAGTCACTCTGCTGTCTGGCATTATCCTGTGCGCCACACTGAACACGGACCAGAGAAAGCTGTCAGAGAGAGTTGTCAGAGGAGATCAGAAAGAAAACTGTAGACCAGCATTTCAAAGGGGAAGGCTATAAGAACATCTCCAAGTGGCTTGATGTTCCTGTGACTACAGTTGCAAATATTTTAAAAAAAGTTAAAGGTCCATGGGAGTGCAGTCAACCTCCCTGAATGCAGTTGCAAAAGGGAAATTTACCCCAGATTAAACAGACGGATAGTGAAAATGGTAGACAAAGAGCCAAGGAATACTTCCAAAGAGATACAAGGTGAACTCCATGGTCAAGGTACATAAGTGTCTGACTGCACATCAGTCACTTTTTGAGTGACAGTGGGCTCAAAGGAGAAAGACCCAGGCAGAAATTTGGTAAAAGTATACTGTCAAGCTGCAATACTGCTGAGAGATTGTCCTTTTGGCACATGGGACTGGTGCTTTTTGGCAGGTCATATCAGCTCCATGGTCACAGACCAAAAAAAATGAAGCATTCAAAGGAAAGAACATCGTACCTATATATATATATATTTTTATATATATTTATTTTTTACATAACATATGTGTTCTCAGCTAGAGATGGTTCTTTGATTTACTTTTCTGAAACCTATCCCTCTCCAATATGGATGAACTACCTCCATAGTAGCTCATGCAGCTTCTTATCAGCCGCAGCTGGCAAGTTATGCTAATTGGGGATCTTAGCACCCTAGCTCTTAGGAGCCATATCAATGTGTTCATAGTTCAACAATAATGAACAGTGCTTGCTTCAGTTATGGATAGGTCTGAGGTAGGCTGGTCTACAAATGCATTTGCTACTACAGGCACTGCATGTAAAGCCTTAGAGGTTTTCACTGCATTGCTTACTGACATCTTCTTCTGGTCTTCTGAGCTACACACACCTACACTTTATACAACTGTAACATTCTTTTATGATGGATTTTTTTTTTATTTATAATTGTTAGGTATTAGCTGACATAGAAGAAGACGACAAACTTGCTCCATCCAGCTCGGACATTGCAGAAAACACCAGTGGTCTTGCGTTAACAGAAGAAACTGTGAATTCAGGTAAATTACCAGTTTTACTGTGAACTATGATAAGTAAGGAAAAAGACTTGTTTGGACTAAAAGACACAAAGGACACATTTTCAAATGAAATTTACAAGGGTACTTATTCTTCCCTATTTATCCAAAATTAAAAAACTACCCATTGTTTAGTTTAAAATTCATGAAGAAAGTATACAGCATGCATCATAATCATGTTAAAGGATAGGTCTAGTGTTTTTGTAAATACTTATTAATTACACATTTTTCACCATATAAATATGACATATTGTATATTAATATTTCATACTTGCAGATGCAGCTCTAGTTCTAGGCTCCTTTTCACATTTACCAGGCCAGCCATTTTTGGTTTGCTGAAAAATTCTAGTTGTTTTCAGACCTTCATATTTAAAGCTGAACATCACACACAAAACTAAATGAGACCAGGTACTTGTTCCATTTCTCCCAGCTCGCTACAGGCTGGGCATACAGAGTTCAGAGAAACTGAAGGCAAACAACTTTTACTCTGCGAATTCTATGCAAGAATCAGCACTTCCTGTTTTAGACTGGCATATTATGCCCCTGCCTCTCAATTACCAACAATCTTGTCAGCATGTTGTGTGTGGTCCTATTGTTGGCCATTGGACTGCCTGTTAGGGCTGCACATTCCTGCTGCAAACCTGATTGCCAGTCCAAACGCCAACTGAAAGAGAGCACATGGCTGACAACGCTTGTGCTAAATGAGAAACAGTGGCTTAGTGTTGTCAGCCAGCCTGCAAAAGAAAGTATTTTTACTGGCAGGTTCTCCAGGTTAGAAACTTTACAATAGTGTCACAAAAAATTATTTGCTTAAGAAAATTTTTGCAGTTAGGCATGATGCCATAAATACTGAAAATTAGATTTAGGGTTTACATACATTTTAACACTTTAATGCACCTTTTGAATTTGTTTTTGTGGCATAGGTTTGTGATTAAAAAAAAAAGTGCATTCACTGAGTTTTGGGGCAGTTGCTGTGCTGCACTGTAATGTTACCAATAGCTATTTTCTTTTGTCTCTCACTGGAGATTTTGTTTCGTAGGAGATGGAAGCCTTGAGTCTATAAGCTTTTGTTATATCAAAGTGGAAGAAAGCTGTAGACAAAAACTGCAGCAGTGGGAAAAAGAGCAAGAGAAACATAATGAAATGAAAAGAGCTGCACTCATTGCTCAGAAGGCGGTCTTAGAAAACGAAATCCAAGAACAAGATGAAAAGAGAGAAAATTGGAAGATGGAATTTGCGAAAGAGCTTTTGAGGCTGAATGCCCTTCAAAAAGTAAAGACCGAGCTTAAAGCACTGCTTACTGTTGCATTGAAACAGACAAAATACATCTTTTTTACTCTTTGTAGTGTTTTCAAGAAATTTTAATAAATGCTTCTTCAAATGAAGCAAGTAGATCTGCACAATGATACCGATGCACTATTCCAGAAAAAATACCTTCACATCTAAATAGACTTGTCGTGCTAGACAAACTGGCTATTGAAAGAGCCACAATGAACAAAGTACAGTAGTCCATAGCAACCAATCCATTAAGAGCAGCCAGAATAATAAAAATGGTGGCTTATTAACTGCTCAGGGCTGCCTAATTGTCTTACATTGTCTTATTAAACAACTTTGCATGCAAACCCAAAACTAGGTTAATCTGTAAGTTTATTAGATTTCACTAGAAATGCTTCACAAAATAAAAGCCATTGATGTGTACATGCATTCAATTAACCACACCCCAGGTTGTGGAATCATAGAAGAGCCTTAATTGCTGTATTTATCATTATGCTGTTCTTGAATAAGATTCAGCCAATCTCCACCATTTCTATATACATTACAGACCAATGCAACTTACCACCATCCCTGTCATGTGGATATAAACTATTGTTGGTGTTGTCCCTGGACCTGTTCTCTTTTTTTTAATCAAAAGATGGTTAAAAATCAGAAATTGCTGTGCATATGGCCAGCATTAAAGGGAACCTGGCAGAATTCTAATAATATAAACTAACTTGCCTCTCATTACCATTAACTTTAGCTCCAAATTAGAGTTCTAGGCTGCTTAACAGCATCATATAAAAGAATGCTGATGCACCTAAGTTTGGACTCCCTGGACACACAGAAGTTGTATTTGTGTCAGATAAAGTTATATGCCCTTAGGGGTTAAAGTATAATTGTCCGTAAACTATTCCTTTTTACAGGTGGATGATCTGCAGTCTCCTGGTTCTTAAAATTATACTCTTTTAGCCCAGTGCAGAACAGGTCTTTGTGTGTATGATCATTTCCTGGCTGTCATACGGATCCCCTGGCTGAAATTTTAACTCCCTGACCCAAAACAGGCAAGCATGTCAAGATTTCTGACATTTCTGGATCTATACTTGTTCCAAGTCAGTCAGTAGTCAAGCAAGAGGGCTTAGAAGGAGTTTACCAATAACAGCTTTCATATTTCTCCTAGCAAACTTTTCTGTAATATAATTAGATTGTACTAGATGTTAAGTTTTGCTCTTCTCAGTTTTTAGATATTCTGAATGTATAGTCAACTTGATGACATTGCCAAAGAAGCAATATTGCAACTAATGTTTTGATATTTGACTGCTTCAGTATTCTAAAATGCACATTTAAATATTATGTTTTTAAGGAGCAACAGGAGAAACTGGATGCAGATTTAAAAATAAAGAATGATACAGTGGCAGGAGATCTAAGAAACCACCAGGTAAACAATATATAAATAAGAAAGATGAAGACATGTATGCTGGATGTGCCAAGAAGATAAGCACTCACTCTAGCTTTCAACTATACTCAACCCAGAATGCTTGCTGGAGAATTTAATACATTAAGCCCAATTCACAAAGCTAACACACCAGGAAAAGGATACTAATTTTCCAAAAAAATTATAGCTATTTTTAGTTCAATGAGATTTGCAAATTGAAGTCACGTGGCTTGAAATAAAGATTATTATTATTATCCTTGTGTCATCCTTCATGAACTGAGACTGTTGCATTAAAACAGAACCACAGAGCATTTCAATGTGATGTAATATTGCCCAGTTGTGAGCCATTGTCCTCCAATATCCTGAATTAATATAAACTTACTGGCCAGTGTTTCATGTAGTATTATTTGTGACATCAGTATGTGATCTATTGATGTCTACTAAAACAAAAACGTGGATGGATAGATAGATAGATCAATGGATAGATAGGTAGATCAATGGATAGATAGGTAGATCAATGGATAGATAGGTTGAACTACTAGTTTGTGATTCTTTTTTCCTTTTGTGCATGTTTTTAGAACCTTATTAAGGAAATGGAAGCAGAGTTGGTAAAAGAGCAAAACATATTTAAGGAACAGAAAGCCAGAGCAAGAAAATATCTGGAGGAACTGCACAATAAATCAGCTGTTAAAATCCAGACAGCCTTTAGAGCACATCGAATCTATAAAATGTATGCACCTGTTCTAAGGCAGAAAAAGGAGGAGTTGAAAAGAAAAAAAGAAATGCAGGAGAAAATGGATCAGGAAAGGAAAGAGTTTGAAGAAAAAGTAAAGCTGAAACTTGAGGAAAAGAAACGGAGAGATGAAGAGAAAAGACTCAATGAGGAGATTGCGAAAAAGAAACTGGAAGAAGCCAAGAGACTGGAACATTTGGAACAGGAGAGGAGGCAGCAGACATATGAGAAAAAGAAAGAAGAAGAAAAACAGAGACTGGAAAAAGCAAAGATCCTAAAACTGGAGGCAAAAAAGAAATCGGAAACTATAGTTAGCACAGATACTTTCAACAATGAACATCTCGGAAAAATAAAGAATAAACATAGCAATCCTTGTCTGCAAGTAATTGAGAAAACAGTGGAAGATTCTTGTAAGGATGGAACGAAACAAGCAAAACACAGTGAAATGGTTAAAAAGCCCATGGAAGAGATTTATGAAGAAAAAACATTAGCAAAGCAATGTAAGGTGCAGCAACAAGTAAATATTGATGGATGTGCAATAAATATAGAAACACTGACTGATTTGGAACCAGAAAAAGAGCCCAAAGAAATTAGTAATAATTACTTAATTAGCACTGAAAACAGTTCTTTAGCACCTAACAGAGAGTCCAAAGAGAAACAGGACAAAGGAGCATGTGACATGCCTTCTCTTACACCCAAGACACAAACACCTTTACTAAAGGAGACTGTTGATGTCGCATGCAGTGAAACAGCACATGGTAGTCAAGATAGAGAAAAGAACACAGGCAGTGACCTTCAAAACAAGTCCCCAGCTTTACCTATGAATTCAAGATCTCTTGTCCTACCAGATCATATTGAAGAGAGGCGGTTAACATGGATGAAATCTTGTAAGCCATGGTCCACAGTTTTAAGAGAAAATCGACTTAATAGTGTCGTTAGAAAGACAAGGCAAAGGAAAAGGTCGGCAGCAAAAACATTTCCTCCCATAAATACAGCTCTTATCCTGAAAAATGGTCCATGGAACAACCTGCAACAGGTAAGACTTTTCACATGTTTTCAAAGTCAATCTGTAGTTAAAGCGGACCTTCACCCATTTAAACAACTTCCTCTCACTTGCCTCCTCCCTCTCCCCTCTTATACATTTGCAATGAAAATATATTTTTTAAAACCGTAAATACCATTTTTTTTATGCTTACTTCCTTAATCCTCACCGAGGCGAGGATGACATATCTGGCCCCCATTGCCTCCTGGGATGTTCACAGGTGCCTAAAGGAGGCCTGCAACACATCCGTGCATGTGCAGCAAGGTGGCAGTGTAGTGGGGGATCAGCGGATCACAGCAGAACAAAATGCTATTTGAGCTTAACCTTATGCAGAAGGCAGGCGGGGTGAAAAGAAAATGAACCCAGTGGAGACGGGTTGAAGTTCCTCTTTAAGACAAATTATTGAAACTAATAGTATACCTGTAGAAAATGCACCTTAATGTGCAAGAACATTTATTATTATGGGAAATTCTATTTATATGTTTTAATCCGCTTAGTATGAAATATCGCATGCTTGCAGCCAGCAGGTGGAAAGATCTAGATTACAGCTTTAGCTGTTCCCTAGGGTAAGTTACTGCTATGTTTTGAATAGCCTTTGCTCTGCTTTAACCTAAATAGCAGGAGACCAGATTATATCTGTATCAGACACAAACAGCTGAATTGCCCCTGTATCTATCTTAATAGATATGAAGTTCTCTACATGAATCAACAAAATGAGTATCATGGATATAAACCTATATTTAAATATATTTGTAATTAAAGGCTTTTTTTAATTAAAAGAAAAATTTTACTTCACGTAAGGCCAAACTTTTTTGGTAGAGAAGGGAATGGTTAAGACCCCTATCAGGATTTTTGTATGCTTTTGGGAAGATGTTTCTTCATTTCCTGTTTTGCAACCAGAAGTAAGAGGAAATCTATGCAAGGTGAGCATAAATCCCCTCTTATAACAGTTGACACAGGAACAAGTATTTTCATTGGAAGATTTTCCCTTACCTCCTTTTCTGTGACAACTGTAAAATTTTGATTTTTCCCATCACTTTCTGTCCTGGAGGCAATGGTCATCAGACTAGAGAGACATGAATCCCTATAGAATCTCCCTAGACAGCCAGCAAAACTTGACAGGGGATTTAGCACCTCCTCACTTTGATGACTGTTACATAAAGTCGACCATCATCAATAAATCTTGGCAGATTGTTGTAATGACACAGTAAAGGGTTTGTTTAAATGACAGGTATGTCTTACTGAACATTATAGTTAACTGTCTGCCAAATTTTTAGCATGATGTCCATTTTCTTCCATCATAGTGCTCAGAAAATGATTAATTCATGGCCAGACAGTTAGCTGTTGGATGCTATGTTGTATCTTGGTGCAAAACTGAAATTCTCGCAGGCTGAACTGTGGAGTTGCATACATATATGAGTGTACAAGTACCATCAGTGGTCCAAACTCAACTGGTAAGGCAGTATAAACATTGCCTTAGTTTGAACAAATTGTATTCCAGCAAAAATCAAAGAGACATGGAGCAGCATACCAATTATCTAAAGTAACATGCTTCTGCTTAGAATATGATGATTTATGGGTATATGTTTGAACTGGTTTTTTTTTTTTTTTTTTACTGTCCATAAGCAATATTTATTTTTTTGTCTATTGAGGGACTCCTTAAAGTGTATTTCCACTTTCACAGCCAAATTGGGATTACACCTATTTTATGTTTATTACATATTCACAGTGCATATGCTAAAAAAAAATACTTATTTCAGTTTAAATTGCTTTTACTTGGGTTAGGGTTTTAAGGGTTAAAATGTATTCTTGTTTCTATGTCTTTCATATGTTAGGACGGGTTGTGATAGGTGAGGGGTCTGAGCTAACCCATCGTATGTTGATGAAGCTTATCAGATAAACACAATTCTCACATGTCAGTCTCAAGCCTTTCCATTAGGACAGACCACTGTGCAAGAGCTAAGAAAAACCTGGAATCCTCCATCTTGCCTGATTTAACAAAACATCTGAAAGGTACAAAATATTTTTTTAAAGTTGTTTTTCAGTATGCTGTGTGAATAGGAACGCATAAGTAACATATAGAGGGGTTTTCTCAAATTTGACTGAAAAAGTGGAAATACACTTTAAGCTGATCCGTAAATTGGCAGATGGTCTCTATATCCGGAGGAATTCCAGGAGATGTGTGCATTGTGGGATCCTGGATGTGTATTTTCTAGCTTCTGAGTTCAATAAAAAGCTGTACAGATTTGTCTCCAGGACACAGAATGCACCAGATGTTCGGGTGGTGCTGTGGTATCATTACTCCCTGACTGATGCCTTATCAAATGTGAAAAAACTTATTTTCACTGGTGTAGGTCTGTAGGGGTTTCCCCCCATGTGCCTTTTTGCTGGGCCATGTGCTTTCTTTCGTTTGGATGGGGGATCATCAAAGGTCAAATATCTGCCCTGTCAGTTTTGTTTTGTTTTAACATCCTCTAATAATTCACTGATTTGTACTTTCATTTATAGGGGTTACACACTTTGCTTTCCCGTTAGGCCCACCCTCCAACTGTGGGCTTTAAAATGTGTATTACTAGATCCTATTTGGTACATTTCCTTGATATTGTTATCCCGTATGGTAGCCTTTCTTGAGGCCATAACTTTGGCCAGAAAGGTTTCTGAGTTATTTACATTGTCCTATAGGGAGCCCCATTGTTTGAGTAACAGTGACCTCCTTTTACCCAAAGCAGTCTCTGCTTTTCATCCTTATGAGGATATCATGTTGTCTTCCCTGTGCCTGACACTGGTTCATCCCATGGAGATCTTCTTTTTATTGGCTGGATGAGATGAGGGCCGTCAGAGTTTACTCTTTAGCCATTGCTTATTTTAGGCAGAAATATTCCTTGTTGTCATTCTAGAAGGTCCTAAAAGATGTTCTCTGGCTTCCAGATCCACTATTTCAAAGTGGATTTGAAAAGTTGAGTAGGCCTTTGAGTTGAAATAAAAAGCCTCCTTTCTCCTATAAAGCCCACTCCACTAGGGCAGTAAGGGTTTTTGGGCATTTTGTTACCAGGTCTCTATATCTCAGATTTCTAAGAGTGCGACCTGGTCTTCTGTACTTACTTTTCTAAGTTGTACAAGGTCGATATATCTGCCTCTGTAGGTGTTAGTTTCAGTCAAAAGGTTCTGCAAGCTGCTCTTGATTTTTCTTTTTGTTTTGAACCTTTTTTATTGGGTTGGTTACTTGTGGTGTTTAGGTGTCCCTGTTTCTCAGTTTGGACTGGATTTGGACATCCTTAGTTTTTTTTTACTATGAAGCTGTGTGTCTCAATGGACAATAGAGAAAATAGGTGTTATGTACTCACCATAGAATTATTTTCTCGGAGTCCACTGAGGGACATAACTCCCTCCCATCATTCTCTATTTGGATGGCTTCTACAATTGAGCAGGCGTCAGCTGGGAGGGGCTATACCCTTAAAGGGGAATGTCTTCAGTTTTTCATCAGCCTAGTGTCCTTTGCTCCTGTAGGCTGCAGTATACCCTATATTTCTTACTATCAGGCTGTGTCCCTCATTGGACTCCGGGGAAGCGGTTTTACGGGAAATACAAAAATGTTCCTGTCACTTGAGGGACACGGAAAGTGTTTAACATTCAGGTTTTCCTGCTGCCTACAGGAGGATTGGACACTGGAAAACAAAAAGCTGTAGACCAGCCCTGGATAACCCCTTCCATTACCAGGTGCCTCCGTTTTTTTCTAGTGTCCTAGGATGATCTTTTCTACAGCTCTGCTGTGTGAACACAAAACTGTTTATTTGCTAGCACCTATTTTTTCTTCAATAAAAACTCTTCTCTACTGTACATAATTGCTGGATCCTTCCCTCCCAAATTGCAGATTTTCATTGCAGTCATCCTCAGCCTGGGCTTTGAAGTAATGTGTCCAAACCTCGCTGGACTGTTGTTGTGGAGATAGCCTGGAACTGACCTTTGCACCATGGGCTTCACATAGGGTGCTTTCCAGACTGTGTTCTGGTAAAAGTTAGCTGCAGAGTGCTTTCCAGCTCCAGACCTGTTAGAGTTGACTTTGCGCTTGTCCCGTCTCTGAAAACTCACTGCAACCAGCTGTCAGGGTTTTGTAAGTACCTGAGGCCTTGCCCTGAGCCTAAATTTTACTTTACCTACACTGGGTTGCAACATGTCTGATTCTAGACACGGGGGGCGACAGTCTGTCTGTACAGGATGTTCACATTCTACTAATGGTTCTGGGGCTGCTTGTAGCACACCTTTTGGCGCTGCTGATGTATGCGGCCTAGAATGGTGTTATTATCTAATCTTAGAGTCTTTTTTATCTTGGAAGTCCTCCTTGGCTTTGTCAGTTGTGGCTAGGCCCTCTCCTCTTTTATTGAGGTTTTTTTATCATGGTCATGCAAGGTTTCATGACCCAAATAAGCCAGTTATTTGCTGACACTGATCGCAGGAGCCTTGAGTGTGCTCTGGCTCCCTCTCCTAAAGATTCTGTATCTGATTTGCCTCCTGCCCTAGTGGTTTCAGAGTCGTTGGCTGCAGAGACTCTCTGATTCTGAATCTCTGCAGTACTTGACTGATGAGCTTGCCCTTGAGTAGTTGCAATCTATTGCTATTTCTCCCAAATTTGGCTTTTATTGATGCAGCATGCAACATGATGACTGTAAGCGCTTGGGGAATACTTTGCTGGGCAATGGATATTTGTTTGACCTGGACTCATTATTGAGAAAACTGGCGGTTTAATACTACATTAATGACATCACCGGAACCTAGGCAAGCAAAAGTGGCTGGAAGCCAGTGTCTGCAGAAAATATTTTGTATATTTCTACGTTGACTAAAAAATAAATAGATTTTTTTTAAAGTGACCATAATTAGGGATGAACATTACCTTTCTTACAGCAGCATGTAAACAAAGGGTCAGGATGCTTGCTGACGTAATTCACCTATAATTTTTCATGCTCGGGAAGGGCTCCTACCGGGTTCAGAGGAGCTTA